GGTATCCATTTTTTTCGTCGGGGAACCCACTTTTTTTTATCCAAAGTGTGCGTCTACCAGTTTGGACACGGGCCACTCAGACAGTAAAGATTGAAAAAGAAAAAACCTTTTAACGAAAGACCGTTTTTCTTGCTGGACTTCTACGAATTCAGATCTATTAAATTAAGTTTCCTAGGGAAAACATAAACAATAATTTTGGAAAAAATCTTTTATCCGACATTATTACTTATTACGATAAAAGCTATTTTTAGTGGGTACAGATATTTCAGTTGCTATCCGTGTATTCTTTCTTTTATTAAACAGTGAAATTAATAGACAAATAAATTGGGAAGTTATACAAAGAAAACCTTAGCACCGACAGGAATCGAACTGCATCCCTTCTTTTTATCAATCAAGAAAATCACTTTTTTCCAACGTTGAACAAAACTGACAAGGTTTTTAAATGTTTTTAGTTGCATAAGTAAATTGAGACAGACACACACACACACACATATATATATATATATATATCACTCATTTCTGTTCAATTAAATTGAATTCTCCTAACCGCAGGCGTATTTCGCAGAGAGAAAGTGGTTAAAATTCTTTTATTTTCTGCCGTGCGACGATGGCCTAGAGGTAAGATAACTGACTGATGTCAAATCAATCGGGTTTCGGTTTGAAGCAATCGGATGTCTATCCACACACAAGAGCTATGATACAGCGAAACAGTCTGTCAGTGGATGACTATATATACATATATACCCTTGCGAATATCCTCTCCCTCCAGCTATGGGTAAAATAGCAGGACAGACTGGGTTCTATAGCCTTGGATGGCAACTGGTCTAGGAGAAAGACAACTCTGAATTCAAAACCTGCGGAGGGTCGTTTGGGAACCTTGTGGCATTCGGTGCACCAGGTCTCTGTATTCGTCCCTTCAAAAAATGTGGATGGTCCTGCACGAGGCCTTCACCACTATAATCAAATCTCATGTGCCGGTGTCGGGCTGTCGGTTTCCTGGAAACTGATCTGCTTGACCCTCATACGTCGAATCTCGATGGGAGAGTCGATTATATATATATATATATATATATATATATCGAAACAAAAAATACACATATCTTCACGATGAATATAAGTATCACTTGTTTCCTTACATTTTGGGGTTTCTCTAGCCGATTTTGTTTCTGTTTAGTCTTGTTATATATATATATATATATGAGACTTGGGAATTGAATAGATAATTACGAGATTGTGGACGGAAGTAAAATATAGACACAAAATGTCTGCAAGCAAGAACTAAGATTGGTTTTGAATGCTGCTGCTGCTGCTTGTCAGGGCGAGAAAAACGCAAAGGGACTTAAAATGTAGCGAGAATCCCATCATGGCTTATCATTTAATAAATACGCAATCAAACAGGAAGTCCAGTTGATAATCTTTAGTTAAGGAGATGATAAGAATGCACACACACACAAGAATATATATATATATATATATATATATATATATATATAATATTTATATAAAGCAACATGACTCAAAAATCTCGAACAGAAGGCGGGTTAGTTGGAAAACATTAAAAAAAGCATATGTATGTGTAAAAACATTCATACATATTATATATATATATATATATATATATATATATATATATATATATATATATATACAGAGAGATGTGATAGATAAATAGGTGCATAATCCCATGTACTTATATGCATATGTGTGTTAATTTATCTGCTAACTTACATTCGTATAAGTATTTTAATCTATATATATTTACAATATTTATGTCTCATTGCGTATGTATATCTCTTATATATATATATATATATATATATATATATATATATATATATATATATAAAAAGAACATTGAGATATATAATCCGGTGTTCTTATAGATATTTTTATTTTTACAAAATAGTGCTCAATGTAAATTTACAGAGCATTAATATTATAAATTAACTGATTTAAAATATTTTAAATCAGTTAATATATATATATATATATATGCCCTATGAGTCTTATATATATATCATATATATATATATATATATATATATATATATATATATATATATATATATGTCATCTGAAAATAAATATTTGTATACATATATATGTAATTTCTAAGGAATTAATGCAATTTATTTTTTAATACGACATATTTTTATTGCTTCAAAAGTAATTTTTGCAGACAACCGTATTTGAGGAGCCTCACCGTTTTTGTTTTTTTGTTTTGCATAATAAGTTTTATCGCGTAAGCAGGCCGGTAGACGAAATAAATACCGTTAAAAGAAATAGAGCGTCTACTAAATAATGCTTGAAGTAATATATATATATATATATATATATATATATATATATGAACATTGAAGTCAACACTCAGAAGTGACAGGCTGTTTCTTGCTAGACGCACTCGTCGGACCTCAAATATTGCCTGTCGCCTCTGAGTGTTGACATTAATGTTCACTTTTATATTTATATTTACATAAGCTATATTCCTGATATTGAGCACTTTATCTCATAAATTTAGCACACCTTAAAACTACATTTCTTCATATATATATATATATATTATACGCAAAGATGGAAACTTTACATACATACATACGTACACGTGCGAAAATTTAATCAATTTTTTCGTGATCTCAGAAGCAAGTATATCGTAAGCTCTATATGCATGCTTGTTATCTGTTTGTTGAGCAACCTATGTCATAAAATTACCAATACATTCTGAATAACAGTGAATTCTACACAAAGAAAATCAGGACAGTTTCAGTGTAGGCTTAAAAAAATAGATATAAAAACAACATATATATTTAATGGTTACGTTCGGAAAAAAAAACTCAGGCTGACAGGGCGAAGCTCCGGACGCATCAACTAAGGACAGTGGATGAAACTGAAGAAGGCTGATTATCATTGAAACGATTCATATCGATAGGCTGGAAAGCATTTAACGAAAATCGATCTTATGAAAAAAGACCTAGGCAATAAATTTAGAAAGTAAAATGTATCGCGAATGATGACGTAAAGTAAAATCAGCAAAATTCCTTGAAAACAAACTCCAAAAGGAAGAAAGATCTCTGGGAAGAGTAATGCTAGAGATAAAAAGAGGTAAATATAAATTAGTGAACAGCCGAGGATAAAACCTATTATAGAAATGCTTAAGTAATAACAAATAGGGGAGGGGGGGCAGACTACCTTATTCAGTAACCATCAGCTCTAGGTTCTTTCTTCGGATAAACCATAGTAAAATAAACAGAGTAAAAAGAAGAAATAAAAAATAAATTCATTTTTTTTTTACAATGTTGTTCCCTCTGTACAAGGCCCAAGTGTCACTCTAGGTAGAGGGTTACAATGTAAGAGGCACAGTTTTGGAGGATATATAGGCTACTTCATTTTTTTTTTCTTTTATTGTTCTCTCTCTTTGCTAGTGTTATATTTGTTTTCATATTCTATAACACTCCATAACCCCTTGCGTCTTAGTGGTCTTATTGCCTTGCTTTGGCTGAAAGGACTAAAAAAAAAAAAAGCAAAAAATGTTAACGATTAACCCGGGACTTGAACAGGTTAAGATTGTAGTGAACGGAGAAGCATCTTCTTAAGAGTCGGTTTTACAAAGCAGAGGTTCGTGGGAAGAAGCCAATCGAGTGGAACTTACATCTCACCAATAGGAAGCGAAGAGATTTACAATGGTTCGTTACAATATGCGTGTTATGTTGGGTCTAAGTCATGAAGTTTAGAACTGGTGCAACTAAGGAATGAAGTTCGTCTGAACACTTTCCATAGAAATAGATAACGTTGACCAATAAATAGCGAACGCCTTAAGAAATTAACTGTTCGTAGATGGTGTAATGAAACAGAACGTATTCAACATAATATATGCTAAAGAATAGTACGAAAAGGCTTTTCTCCTGCAGTTGACGAGATATAACTGTTGCTGCTGATGATGTTGAAAACTTAAGTTAGTCTAACAGGCACTTCGCTAGGATAGTGAGTTCGATTCTTACAAACTTCTCTACTGTTGCGTCCCACTGTAAAGCTAACTCAGCAAAAAAGCAAAATGGCGATTTAGTGGCTTTGGTTGCCAAATATTTCCTGCATTAACCATATCAAAGTAAACTTATTGAAATAGACGTTACTTATTTGGCGTCCTGGGTATGACGATATTCGGTAAATCGAATCGAGTTCTCTCAGTCACAGTGTGTTTATCTAAAAATAAATACGCTTAAATTCACCTTCCTCCCTGCTGTGCGCCAACGGCTTAGTGGTACAATCCCAGACTTACGCCAGTTCAATCGAGTTTCAATCCTATCTAGAGCAGCCGGACATCTATCCACACTGATGAGCTGTGATACAGCGAAACAGTCTGTGGATGACAATTGACTATATATATACATATATATATATATATATATATATATATATATATATATATATACCGCCCTGGGTACGACGATAAACTACATCTACTTCCAACAGCAAAGCCTATGATTAGCATTTTTCGTGAGTGTGTAAACAACTCTTAACTGCTGACCCGAAATGGTAGCTCCTGTTAGGGTCACAACTATGGGCAAATAGTTAACCCCCAAACTGGGGTCAAAACACTATGAAATTGTATAAATAGTTTTTAATACCAGCAATATTTTGTAAAAAAAAAAAAAAATTATTACCAGCAATGAATTTTCGAAGGAAAAAAATATTCCCAGCAATGCAAACAGCTATCCATTTTTTGAAAAAAAATATTACCAGCAATAGATATTTGAAGAAAAATATTACAATCAATAAAAATTTTGTCGGCATTAAATAACGCATTGAGGTTGATATGCCGTAAAACAAAACAAATCACATCATTTTATTTATTTGATAGATTTTCCTGTATAATTTTGACTTCTTTTCAAATGTTATGCAGATCTCTATCAACACACTTTCACTTTTTAAAATTTAATTTTTTCTCAAAAAACATCTGATTCGGTCGAATCGAATCAAACCTCATACAGGCTTACGTTGAAAAAAACGGTTTCCGTAAGATAACCGAAGTTAAGCAACATCGAGCCTGGTAAGTACCTTAATGGGTGACCGATTGGGAATACCAAGTATTGTAAGCTTGGATGTGAACGTGGTGTAATTGCTCGGAATTGTTAATCGGAGAGCCGAGTTCCAATTCCAGTTGGGTTCGTTATCGTCACTTACGCGCAAATAACCATGGGAAAGGCATACATCCATCTCTCCTTTCTCTATGGGTTAAGTTATAAGACTTGTATCACTAAACCATCATTATCTAAATTAAATTATTAAAATCTAAAAATATATATTTTCTGGCTTTAAATAACCTAAAAATGTTGATAAGCCAAAGAATACGAATCAGTCAATCAATCAATCAATGTTTCTCGCATAGCCCGTCCATATTATTCTTTCAAGCCGTCGGTAGAAATAAATCTCTGTTGCTTCAGATCTCTTCTTCATCTCTAAGAAGATTGACCAGCATTCAGTATCATATGGAATATTAGATATTACATAAAAGTTCAGTGTTCTTTTCTTCCTTTTCAATGACATTTTCCGATTTCTTGATACTTTGCATAGTTTCCGAAAGACATATTTCGCTATTGTTGTACGTTTTAGGATTTATGTGTCACATTATCCATCGTCTATGAAAAACACATCCCAGATAGTTCACTTTCTGTACTTGCTTAAATTTAATGTTTCCAGTTTGTAGCTCGTATCTTGGGGCTTCTTTTTCTCTTTCTAATGGCCATCATGGATTTACGGCCACTTCACGTTAAAACGCCAATTACTCTTGTGAAAGGCATGAATCCAACTCTCCCTTGGCTATGCTTTAAACAGTGTGATTTGTATCACTAAACCATTATTATCTAAAAAAATTCTTATAATATATAAAAAAAAATATTTCCTGGCTTTAAATAACTTGCAGACTGTAGAAAACAAATCAATCAGTCAAATGTTTCTCACTTGGCCCTTCCATATTAATCTCATAAATTGTCGGTAGAATCAGATCTCTTTTGCTTAATATCTCTTCTACATCTCTAAGATTGTCCATCATTCAATATCATATGGAATATTAGATATTACATAACAGTTCAGTGTTCTTTTCTTCGTTTTCAATGACATTTTCCGATTTCTTAATACTTTGCATAGTTTCCGAAAGACATATTTCTCTATTGTTATACTTTTTAGGATTTTTGTGTCTCATTATCCATCGTCTATCATAAACATATCCCAGCTAGTTCATTTTCTGTACTTGCTTGAATTTAACGTCTCCAATTTGTAGCTCGCTACTTGGCCTTTTTTATATAAGCCGCAAAGTGTTGATAAGCCGTAAAAAAAAAAAAAAACGAATCAATCAAACAAACCTCTAGGTAAAAAATGCATTATTCCTAACAAATATTATCTTTTCAGATTTATGCAATATTATATTGTAACTAAGATAACTAAAAGAGAAGGTTGAAAATAAAATTTCATTTTTCCCAAAAGGGGAAAAAAACTACAGAAACGAAGATCAGATTCAACCTAAGTTATCTATGTTATCTTATTTACAATGCAAATCTTAAAATAAGATAACCGGGGGGGGGGATGTGTCACCGAAATCCGAAGGCGTACTGGAATAACGATATGTGACTTCCAAAAGCATGTAATAACTGCTCTGTATTCGAGTATGCTAAGTTTGCAGTCGCCTGTTCAAGTAAGTCTGTGTTAGTTCAACATATCCCACCTGTGGTTTATACTGCGGACCTTGGTTACATTTTACTGAAAGAGAACGCATTATCTGGAGTGATAAACAATTAACAAACGTCTACCTGACTTCTCTTAGAACGATCCGTGGTATATTTTCCAGGAAATTTCCAAAGATGCTGCAAGCGGGGATGGCCGCCCCGATAATATGAAAATCTCACTTTCTTGACAAACCGTCCATGCCGAGATTCCAACCCGTTTTTTCATGTCCAGAAAGCGAACGTTCTAGTCATTAGGCCACGTGCCCAAATGCAAATAAAATATTAAGAGACAGTAACATTTCGTTAAAAACACACAGGCACACACACATATATATATATATATATATATATATATATAATGTGTGTGTGTATGTGTGTGTTGGGGACAACTCTATGGTTTAATGGTTAGTGAGCCAATTCAGCAGGATTCATACCAACATTATTGTGTGATACACTAAGGTAAGATAGCGTAGTAACTATAGATCTTGCAAATAGCAATTGATATTTTTATTTCATTTTCACTGATAGATAGATTGATAGAAAATAGATTTGTAATACCAATATACATATACATACATATATACATACACACATATATATGTGTGTGTATGTATATACATGTGTATATATATATATATATATACACATATAAAAGTGAACATAGAAGTCAACACTTAGAGGCGACAGTCTGTTTCATATATATGCAATCGTCAGGCCACGTGTGCTGATGATTGCATATAGCATGAAATAACTGTCGCCTCTAAACACGCTCTATCTATCTCTGATATCGATCACTTTATCCATAAATATAGCAGACCTTAAGACTATATTTCTTCATATATATATACATACATGTATATATATATATATATATATATATATATATATATATATATATATATATATGAACTACTATATAGTAATATTTTTCCTATCATGGAAGTGAATACTGGACAATTCATTCACAGATGAAGAGGAGACGCAAGAGAGATATAATTCTACAGAAGGATAATGAGAATTCTATGGACGGAACATGTGAGCAACGATGAAATTTTAAGGAAACAGAAACAAAATGTTACTAGTAATCAGGAATCAGAAAAAGACAATTGGCTTTTCTGGGACACTTAATGAGGAAAGAGAGCTTGGAGAATTCGACATTCACAAGACGTATTAAAGGATAGATGGAAACATCGAATATCTTAACGAGCTTATGTAAATGAATCTCAGAACTGGGAGTAAGAGTAAAAAAGACAAACATTGATAAGATTTACAAAGGATAGGATGTTGAGCAGAGCCATGATTTCCCTACGCTGAAGGGATATGACACATAACAGAATTGCTGCTAATGGCAGACAAGAACTGATAATTCAGGAAATTATTTTGAAAGCAGACTATGGAGGAGGTGATTAAACATACGCCTGTTTGCTAACATGTAGGGCGTTCAAATTCTCGGAGAAATTCTTCTAAAAGAAAAAATAGGATTTATTAGAAATTTCAATCTCTGGTCAAATTATGCTGAAAATACCGTTTCTCGTTCGATCAGAAGAGACTCCGTTCTGTATTTAGATAGGGCTTCGCTTGGAAACACGAGGCACTGGAGGCAAATTAATACAATCCGAATTGTTTCGGCTTTTAATAAACCACAAAGGGTTGATAGGGCTTAAAGAAATGAATATTCTAAATTTTAATCCATTTATATATTTTAATCGTACCGGAATTTTTCGGTATTATCAAAAAAATAACCAACAACCTCGAAGCATACTTATACATGCCGTTTCAAGACACAGTCTCATATTCAAAAAACAAAATCAGATGTTTGTTCGCTGAAATACTGATTAGAGTAAACGGATCGAGCCGAGAAATTTTCCGCACCATTTAAAAAAAAAAAAATTGTTTGATTTTGATTTCTATATTTTCATCCCATTTCCTCGAAAATGTATAATTAATTCATGCAACAGCGTCCCAATTTCAGGACGGCGGACATTATGTGTTATTGTTAGACATTATTAATACTGATTTTTTATTTTTATAATATGGGATTTTCTTTTATAAATGTAGAATTAATATTGAACTTTTATAATCCTATAAGTAATCCGATAACTTTTATAAACTTATAGTTAATAAGGGAATTTTTTATAAACATATAAATAAAAAAGATTTTTTTTTAAATTATTATAATTAATAAGGGATTTTTTATAAACCTATAATTAATCTGAAAATCTTTTTAATGATACTATAGTACCGGAGATTTTTTTTTGATTTTTTTTAAATAAATCTTTAATTAATAATGGTCTGTTTTAAAAACCTATAATTAATAAAGGATTTTTAAAAAAACAATTAATTCTAGAATTTTTTTTAGGAGCCTGTAATTAATAAGGGTTTTTTTAGAAACCTATAAGTAATAGAGGATTTTCATAAATCTGTTAATTACAGATTTTTGAAAATCCTCTACGGGATTTTTAGAAATCTACAATTAATACCGGAATTTCTTGTAAACTTCTTGTAAATTAATAGAGGATATAGATTTTATAAGAAAAACCTGATTTATATAAAACTAAAATTAATATTGCATTCTTAAAAATCTATAATTAATATTTTTTTATAAGCCTATAATTAATACGAGATTTTTAGAATCGTATATTCAATACCAGACATTTAAAAGCTATAATTCATACTCGATTTCTTTTAATTTTTATAATTAATACCGGGTTTTACAGTGAATGTTTCTTTATTATTAATACCGGATTCTATAGTGATTTTTTTCATTATTAATACCGGTTTTTATAGTGAATTCGTTATTATTAATACCGGATTTTTTTCATATATATGTTCTATATGTATGTAAATATATATATATATATATATATATATTCTATGTATATATTGTATGTTGTAGCAAGTCAGATGTCGAGAAATGTATCGTATTAATTGAAAATAAATTTTGAAATTAAATATGCTATCTAGTATATTTTACAGACGATGAATGGTGTACGCAGTTGATTGTCTTAAGCCGTATTAAATTCGATTTTTTTCCAGAAGAATTGGCGTTGACCACGCAAAGCAATATTTCGACTGCGCATCCACTTAATATCGTTATTATCATTGATAATATCATTATGATATAACAATATCATATATATAATATCATATTGTTATATGATAATATCATATCATTATTGTTGTCTTAAATATTATTGCTCACCTTTATCTTATTCTTTTATTTCATAATTCTAACCACTTTTTTGAGAAAAACATGAGAGAGAAGGAAAGAAAAAAGAAAACGAATATTTTTTTCTCCCTGCTTTTTTATGTCGTTCCCAAATGCCAGAGTGAAAACCTTTCAACAATTTTAAAAATAAGTGGCAGGAAATCCGA